ACACACAACATCCTCATTGCAGCCCATGGAAATAGGAACAATCGCAACAGTTGAAGCATACCAATTAAGAAGAACTTTTACAGAGACGATTGCTGAAACAATTGATGATGATGCTTTTTGTTTCATCTTGTTTTTCATCGACTTTAATTACTTGTTAATTATCCTTTATCATTATAATAGGCAAAAAAAGGAGAAATAATTGTACTATAATAAGAATTTATCCAGTTTTCTCACTGCGATGAAGCAAATTGCATGATTTTTTATATGTTTTAATCTTTTCGAATAGTACGATTTATTTGCTGCACGAATTACTCGTCCTAACCGTTCTAAAAACAAGATGGAACAATAAGCATCATCATCAGTTGTTTCAGCATTCGTCTCTGCAAAATTTCCTCTTAATTGGTATGCTTCTTATTTCCATGGGCTGCAATAGGGATGTCGTGTATGCTGGTACCAATATTATTTTTCCATTCTCACACAAATCGACTAGTGTAATTAATACTTGATGTTGAATTGAGGCCTCTTCATCTTTATCCTTTCATCTATTGGAATATTTCAGAGGAGACGAGAATGATTACGTTCAATAAAGTCTTCTTTTCGCTCCGATAGCGTTGCTTAGAAACGGTGAAGCAACCCCCTTCAGTCTTCTTCCCCATGCCCATCTTCTGAGACTGTTCCATCTTGCCTGACTACTCGCCTCAGTGTTTGTATGAGACGGTTGTGCAAATGCGGCTTTTCGTGTTTGTAATTAGTCACTTGGGCTAATTTGGTTTGCGTTTTTCAGATAAAAAATCTCTTCATTGGCTCTTCGCATCGCAAAGACATGCCTCCGCATCTCTTTTCGGTCGGCCAACTTGCCCTGTCTCGACTGGAAGCCGCCGTACTCGCCAAGCCGGTCTGCCTGCGGTCGCGAACTCGAGTCCCCAAATGGGAGTCCGAGTCTTCCGGAGGCATGGGCAAAGCCTCTTCTCCGGACAGCCGATTTCCCCTACCGCACTCTCCGAGGTTGCCAGCCGCTGGCTCCGACGAGTCGACCGACTTACCGACGCCTTCCAGAAGCGGTAGGATTGCTGAACAGGCCATCTGCCTGTTGGGCCGGTCGGGCAGCGGCAAGACTCACTCGGTTGCAGAACTGCTGGCCTACCTCGTCCACTCGGCGGCGCCTCCACCTTCGCCTCTCTTCTCGACAGACGGCCGGACTCCCGCGAAGGGTCAAGCGCAGCCTCGATCCGGTAGTCGGTCGTCTCACAGGGAGCCGTTGCCGAGACCACAACGAGTTACAGGTAGCCTGACGAGTCATTCGACTTCTATTTACTTTTTCTTTTTACAACATTGTACACTTTTTGGCAAACTTTGCTTCAATATTAGTCCATCCAATTTCAATTCGAGACATTTGATTCTTTAGTCCTTTTTCTACT